TGAAGCATCGATCTTACATTTTTCTCCCTCTCTTCTTGCCCATCTTCTTCCAAAGCAAACCAGAAATATAAGCATCGTCAATCACCGACCTTTTTTCTCCCTAACTGCTTCAAAGCAGAAAAGCCTATTTCTCCTCACTGAAAAATCCCCACTGTTAGTGCCAAAATCCCATTTCTCCTCCTCTTTCTTCTGTGAGTCTCCTTCCTTTTCTCTGATTTCTTTTTCCTTTTTTGGTGTTTTTGCTACTAATTTGGTGGTGATGAATGATGATTGTTGGTTGGTAGTGTGAGTTGTTGAAAGTTTTAATTTTCAATCCCTTCTCGTTCCTTGTCTTCTTACAGATCTAGGCCATGCGACGATTGTTGACAATCGCCAAGGACCGCCCAGACCACAATATGCCATTTCTGCATTTTTCTTCTGTTTTTAATGAGGAAAGATTGGAGCTTTTGTATTTATTTTGGTTAATTCCTTTGGAAAACTAGAGAAAAAGGACTCTTCTTTCTTCCTATTTTTTCCTCATGGATACAATGGGGAGAAGTGAGGCATATTCTAGTTGTATGGGTAGAAGCTTCTGTCAACGATCCTCTACATTTGGGTTTTCCACTATAAGCCCCATAACTCATCTTCGTTTTTTTTCATAAAAATTGATCCATTTTCCTATTTTTATTGCATTTGTCTTATGGTGATCTATATATATTAGTGCTATGTATATTCCTTACTTCAGTGATGAATTTCTTTATGGAGTAGTGGTTACTAGTTTTGGTGGGGTTTGGATATTTGATTCTGATTAGCTCTACTTGAGGCTCACTTAGTTTGCTTCGACAATTTGCTGTTGTTGCTATTTCATTTTTAGTTTTTGACATGTTCTTTCTCAAAATTTGTTTATGGGGTTAATGGATTGTGTTTAATGACTTGAATGTTGGAGGTTGTTCTTGGATTGTTTTTTCCCCTGACAAATTCCTCCCTTTTTTATTTTCCAATGATTTCTTGAACTATTTTCATTTTGACATCAATGGTTCCATTAAGAGGGAATGAATGGGAGGGATAAAGGATCTAGTGGTTAGAATACTATAATTTCAAACAGTGAGATATTAGGCTTCCCTAGTTTTAGCTTATTCCTCATGCATCATATTTTAAAAAGATTTTTTTTTTCTTTTTAAGTCATTAAAGTATCCTTAACTAAATTCTGGATTCATGTTTTATGAACTTCTTCTTTAGGCCTTTATACTTTTTTGGTGGGTTAGCTTGATCAGCTTTATTCCAAAACATGAATCTTCTTTCGCAGGGAATTAATAATACCAAAAAGGAATCCACTTTGTATAATGTGAGCCTTAGATTAAACCAATATTTACCTTCTTTAATTCTGATCTTTATTTGCATGAATAGTAGCTATTTCCATTGTTACTGGTATATCACTAACTTGTAAATTAAGAAAGGTATATATATTGATTAATTAATTAGTTTCAAAGTATAGATGCTTTCGAATGTAGTTATTTCAGCTCGTGCACTAGTTAGAGAGCATCAACATTAGATTTTAATTGTTTTTGGCTTTTAGAAGGGACTGGTGTAACAAAAATAGAGTATATTTTTGCTTGAAGAAAGAATGAACAAAATTTTTTTTTAAAGTTAAAACCAAATGTGTGGTTAGAGTTTTAAATAACTAATTTAGCATAAAGTAATGTAAAAAATGAAAATTTTCTTTCAATTGAAGGACAATTAGTGTGTGTATATATTTGATGTAGGAACCTAAATTC